GACGGTACCGCTGGAGGTGCCTGGGTGCCGTGCCGTTCAGCAGATAGACAGCGGCATCGGCACCAGACCAATCATCATCACACAATACGGATGGATGTCTCACTTGAATACGGGAGGATCACCAGGAAACAGGCCAGATGACAACAGAAGACGCATGGATACGGATGGGAGAAGAAAGGAATAATGAATGGGGGGGGGTACGTAGGAAGGAATGGGAAAAAAAAAAAAAGAAAAAGAAAAGAATGTCCGTGAGAGAAGCTTCAATAGCCCCACCATCTCGGGGTCTGACCAATAACAGCAATGTCAACTGACAATGTTTCCCCTCATCCTTTCCATTCTCGCCCCATCATGTCATTAAAGCTGGCCAAAACCGGTAATGAGCCCTTGCAGTCATCCCTGCAGCTTCCTGTAGCTACCCTGGCACATCATCCCAAGGGCTCCGAGACTCACTAGGGGCTCCCTGCAATGATATTCGGGTGTGCCTGGCCTGGATGTGAAGTGAATGAACTCTACCAGAGTACTCCGTACGGACCTGTAGTCCCAAGTACGTCGGACGAAAAGGGGTGGCTAGGGCCAGGGACGAGCTCAGGACCACTCCAATAGCGGCCGTCAGCTACCTAAGGCACCTCAGGGTAGTAGAGTAGAGGCCAGGTACGGAGGCAGTGCTGCACCATGGCATGATTTAGAAGTTGTCAGTGTGTTGCTGTTGGCAGCTTGTGTCGTGCAGTGCAGCTGGGGCAATGAAAGCTGGTGTACCTAGGTAGGTCGGGTAGGTAAGGTGAGGTACCTCACAGGTAGATGCCTCTTGTTTCGAAACGCTGGGCCGCCCGTGGCGTGTCGGTGAGCGGTCCTGAATTTGTTTCAGGTGATCTCTCCACCAATGAAAGCGAAGCAGTCTCGAGAGTGTGAGCGGTTCATCGAGTCTTTTTTGATTCATGCTCTTTACTTGAGGCCATGATGAAATATCGCAGACCAGGAAACGGCGCAATCTGTCGCTGATTTCGGCCCCCCGGTGCTGCTGAGTTACTGCTGCGCCTTGTTCCTCGAGCTGGCCGAATTTTGTGTCGAGGGGCCGAGGAGCGGGGGAACTGAAGTGAAGGGGATAAAAAAAGGGGGGGGGGGGGGTGCCATTAGCGGGATAGGCCGGGAGAAGACAAACCC